CTCCCATTGTCCGTTCCCGGGAAAGCGCCGTCTGGCTGGTCGCTGGCCGCCGGTCGGGCGGGGACCCGACCCCGGAGAAAGCCGGCGCGCCGGAAGCCCCCCCCCCCGCCCCGCAGCCGCAGCCCGCGCCCGGCATCATTTTTAGAAAGCTCGCTTTCTAAGTTAGTCAGCAGGCTCGATCTGACACCCACAAGCGGGGCGATGACTTCCCGACTGCCTGTGCTAATTTCCGCACCCCCACGGCGGGGGCGGGGGCACCGCAGGTGCCACACGGGGCTTCCAGGCGGCCACTTTGCCGGGCGGGGCCCAGCCTGGCCCGGCCACAGCAGCTCTTTGTCACCCTTAGGAGCGGCTTTGGCCAGGGTAGGAGGGTGGACTCCCACCAGCGCCCCTTGGGACCCCCCAGAGCCACAACCCACTGGCCACATCACAAGCAGCCCGAGTTACCCACATTCTTGGTGGAAAGGTCAAGCCTTTCTGCACGCAGAGCTTCCAGGACTTGCCCTCTGCCCGTTCCTGCTGGGTCTTGTCATTTGTTCTCTCCTTCACCCACCCCCACACCCACCCGGGGCTCTGTTTTCCTTCTTCCTGAGAGCACACAGCTCAAACAGGACCAAAGTATTTTATTCCGTGGACACAGAAACAGATGTTCGGGTCAAACCCAGACGCCGTCACACACTGCAGCTGCAGGTCCGGCGCATCCCAGGCCTTTCAGAGTTGGAAGATGTCAGATGACAGGACCCCAGCCCAGCAACCTCCTTTTGCCAACAGAGGAACTGAAGGGCCCAAGAGGCGAAGAGTCTCCTTTGAGGTCAAGAAATGAGCTTTAGGTATCCCTGGGGAAATGACTTCGGGATGAATTATGGCGGGCGGCATGGTAGATGGAAAACTGAATGCAGACAGAGCTGGGGTCCAGGCTGGGCTGTGTGCCCTCCCCCCGTGCCAGCCCCAGCCAGCCACATACCCTTCGGCGTGGACAGGACCCCGGCCTGCCCTGCACAGACGGAGTGGAGGGAGATGCCGTGATCTCTGCGGACGTGTTTCCTGGGGCTGAGAGGGAAACCACGATTTGGACATCGCTCTGGGAGGGCAGCGCTGGGGCCTGGGGACCCACCTCCTGGAGAGACAGACCTGGCCTCTGCCACTGGGAGAGGCAGTGGGTGAAGTACAGGCTGATCTGCCTACGTGACCCTGGACAAGATTCCTCACCTCCCTTATCTTGCAGGGAGGCTGTTAGGATCGAGGATGACATTGTGAGGACCTGGTGCTTGGTGACTGGCACACAGGAAATGCTCGGCTAATGGTTGCTTAGCATTATTTTCAGAAGCAAGGTTGCCCCGTGATGTCCTTGGGGGAACCTGCACAGTCTCTGTGAACACAGCCTTGTCGTTGCCTGGCAAGGACAGCAGTACGTAAACGTTATTGGCTCCGTCACTCTCAGGGCTCCTGTCAACTCTGAGACCGGGCATGGTGGCCGTCAGGGTTGGGAAGTTGTAGGTGCCTCAGGGCCTGGGAGGACAGTCTCAGGTGAAGAGGGAGTCCCTAGAGTAGAGGCCTTGAACCTCGGGGTCCATGGCCTCCAGAGAGGCTTCTGAGATCTGGGCCCCTCCAAATGGTATGCAAATGTGCTGTCTATGAGTTCAGGGACCACAGCTTTCAGCAGACTCTCAAACAGGGCCGTGACTAAAAGCGTTAAGAAGCTTTGGTCTGAACATCAGCAGGGCAGGCATTAGGAGCCACTGTGGGAGGGAATGGCAGGTAGTGTGGGCCTCAGGCATGACCCTCTGACCTCACACCATCCCTCGGCTAACCAGTGGCAGCCAGTCAGAGGCATCAGTGTCTCACCTGGGCACCCACTCTGCATAATGTCCAGGTCTGGCTGAACCACCAGGTTCAGGGTGTGGGGCAGAGACCTGGGCCCCAGCAGGCAGGGTGGGGACCAGTGAGCAAGACTCCATGAGGCTGGCTCAGGACTAGGGACCGTGAGGTGGGATGGTGACAGGTGGGGGGTGGAAGTCATAAAGGCCTGGGAATGTAAAGACAGAGAAAATGAGGGTCCACTGTGCCAGCCTTGGGGGCTCCTTCTTGTCCAATGGAAAGAGGCACACGTGAGAGATGGGCCACCAGGTGCAATGCCCTGCCAGGGTGGGCTTGGTCTAAACAGTACCCCCAAGCCTTATGCAGAGGCCTGAGATGGAGTCATGGAGTACAACAGTGGGTTCTTGTCCTCTCTCTCGCTCAAGTTCTTTCTTTTCTTGATCTTTATTTTATTTGCCCTATCTTATTTATGTTTTTCTCATAAGCCACTCAAATTGTTTGGGAAAACAGGTAGAGTATAAATGGAAATGAAAAAGAAAAAAGAAAGAAAAGATACCCATATATAGAAAAGCTGCCCGGAGAGAGTGAGCTTCCAATTGTGGGATGTTTTGTTTGTTTTCCTACAAGATATTATTTTTTGGTGACAAGTGGATTATGTTCATTTTAAAAAATGTGGAAGTTTTGTAGAAATAAAAAAATATAAAGAAAAATAATTGCTCATAATTGCACTATGCAGACAATCACAGTATTTTGGTATGTTTTCTTCTAGACTTTTCTAACATATATAAATTAAAACATGGGCCAGGTGCAGTGGCTCATACCTATAATGCTAGCACTTCGGGAGGCCAAGGCGAGAGGATTGCTTGAGGCCAGAGTTCAAGACCAGCCTGGGCAACACAGTGAGACCCCATTTCTACAAAAAATTTAAAAATCTTTAAAAAGACATGTTTTTTGTATTTATACTATCAATGGCATCCAGTATTCTAACATAATATATACCGTATATAACATGAACAGTTTTTTCTCATACTAAAAACTCTTTATAAATATGTAAAATATCTCAGTGCCCCATAGTTAGAAATTTAGATCCTCCTCCAATTTTACATTATTATACATAAAACATTGACAAATATATTTATCCATAGAGTTCAAAGTTCAGATTATTTCATTGAGAAAGATCCAGAACTGGACTTGGGTCCAGCTCAGAGCGGGCCAGGCCAGCAGTAGTGTGAGTGTGTGAGTGACAGTGTGCTTGTGAGTGTGTCAGGGCTGCCTTTCTCATTGGCCCTGCAAGAGAGGGCGACTGAGGCAGGCCTCCTCCCCAGCTCCACTTGGGAGCCAAGTGACTATTCGCGAAGCCTTGTTGAGGGGAAGGAGGTAGAGAAAAGGCTTCCCAGTGACTTGTCTACATGGCCTGAAATCCCTCTGAACCTTCAGGCTGATCAGGGCAAAGCCCTTCAGGCCTGGTGACCACATGCTCCCTGTGTCAGGGCCACCTTTGGGACTGTTGAGATGAACTCGCCTGACAAAGCGTTTATGTCCTGTGTGGCCAGCCTGCCCCGCACACACAGCCCTCCGCTCAGATGTGCTGTCCGACCTGTGCATCCTTCCAGCTTGGCTGGGTTCAGTTCCAAGGCAGGCTGGGCTGGGTTTCTCTTCAGAAAGACTCGCCGGTGGGGTCAGCCAGCGGATAAGCTAAAGTTAACTTAGCTATTATTGCTTTTTTGTTAATGAGGGGAGGACCAGCTACGAAGGTGCCAAACCATTCAGAAATGTTGTGCAGTACTTGGGATTTAATATGCCAGAAAAAAATCTCGCGTTCAGGCAAACGAAAGCAATTGACAATGATTTAAGTTCTGTCTGGACTCTCAAGGGTCCCTTGTGCTTCACTTAGCTTTCCTTTTATTATTTTTTTGAAAAATATTTTTCCTATGAAGTTATGAGTCTTGGAGGCTGAGAGAAGCGCGAGCGACCTCATTGGACTCATCAGCGTGGCAGGAGCTGTCTTTTGCGGCTGGAAGCTCGGGCTATAACTAAGCCTGAGCAGGGAGGACGAGGCTTGCCGGAGATTCTGTCATCTTGACCCTCGGGTTGCCCGTGGAGTGGTGGCTGAACACCCATCCCACGGGGCTTCAGGGAAAGGGAGCAGGGATTGGCTTCTCTTGGGCTCTCTAGTCAATAGGAACAAACCAGCTCTTTGCCAGAGGTGAGATTCTGAAGCAGAGGCTGAATATCTTGGGTGTTCCTGAGCCCAAGAACACTTGACTTATGTCTTAAAACCCCACCGCCCAACAGCACATTCACGGTTGCTGTTCAAAAGTGACCTCCTTTGACAAAGAAACGCGGAGCCCGTAGGATCGAAACCACTTGAAAAACGTTGTTCAAGTCAGTGTACAAAAATGTTTAAAATCCTTTGAAGAAATCAGATCTGAGATGTTCCTGCTGCAGTCTGTGAACAAGTCAAATTGACAGCACGGACGCGAGATGTGCCCACAAGCTGAGCGATCTAAGAGGAGGCTTCTTTTCAGTGTGACCCATATTCGCAACCTACCTACTGTGCATCAGGTGCAGCGCTTGGCTCTGGGGAACAGAGATGTGGAAGACTGGGGTTCTTGCCTCAGAGAGTTCAGTCGGAGAAAGACCTGCTGTGGCCAGGCACAGCGCCAGGAGCGGTTAGGAGGGAGCAGTAGATCCCAATTAGGGAGTGGTCGGAAAGCCCAAGGGGAGCAGCATTTGAGCTGCGCTCGAAGAGCTAGCACACTATCGATGCTTAGCGACGTGGGAGAAGGGTCTGGAAGGTTGGGTCACTTGCCTGAGTGAAGGCACAGGGATGGGCATGAGTGGTGTGCTTGGGAAGAGTGACTGTTGCGGGGAGGAAAAGGCGAAGGAGGAACAGGAAAGGGTGGGCTGTGCCAGGTTGTGGAGGGCTTTGATATTCACCTTAAGGAGTTCAGACTTGATTCTGTAGCTGCTAGGGACCCGCGGAAGCTTTCTCACCTGGGAAGTAACTTGTAAACATCAATGGATTTCTGTTTAATGAAAAGCAAACCCATAAATACATGCTTACTGAAAAATATTTCAGCTATACTGAAGTCTATGAAGCAGCGAAGGAAAGTGCTCCCCTTCCTGGAGGTAACCATTGTTTCACTTGGCTCATTTTTCTCTCCTTTGTATTATTTCAGAGCATGGTTTTATTGGATATTCACCAGAACTGCTGCAGAACAACACTCTGCCAGATTACAGCCCTGGGGAGTCTTTTTTCACTGTCTTTGGGGTTTTCTTCCCAGCAGCTACAGGTATTGTAATCTGAGTTCTTTTTCACTCTCAAATTAGGTGTATAATTGCTGGGTTCCCAAAATTCACATCATAATTGGCCTGCATGTGCTCTCAGTATGTATATCTGACTTTAGAGATGGGCTTAGTTTTGACTAAAAATCTATTATTTTAACAGAGAGTTTACTTGTTCATAACTCCTGAAGGCCCCCAACGTGATTTAATCCTCTTGGATTTCTTGATCCTCCTTATACTTACATGCTGGCACCTCTTGGCCAAGTTCATAGAGGGGACGTATTTCTCTTAGTGCTGAACAGGATAGATTCCCAGCAGGACGAGCTGCTCTCCACACCTGGAACGAGTGCACACTTGGTCTAGAAACTCCCCTCACCCCTACGCCAGGGAGAAACGCTATCATCTCTTCTTCTCTTGCTGTGTTGGGTGTGGGCCAAACCAGGATCCCACGGGCAATGAGTGAATCTCCTTACCCCACCCTTCCCCACTTTCCTGCCCTGCAGTGGCCGGGGAGGAGCCTTCCAAAGCCGAGGGCCTGTAGAACTCTCGCCTCATGCTTAGGTCCCTGGCCCGGGAGGCAGTAAGCTGACACGTTCACCAGCTGATCCACAGGAAATAGCGTCTGCCAGGGCCTGGGCTTGTCCCCAGGGCACACACTCAGAAAAGCACCTCACTGTGGCTCAAGGTAGTGTTGATGGCCTGGAGCGTGTCTGCTGTTGTCCCCTGTGTCCCTCCCCTTTCCCTCTACCTTCCCGCACATGGCCACTTCCTTATTCATCATCCTCTCCCCAGATAAGATAGGGGTAGAAAAAGGAGAAGCTATGAGAATGTCTAAGGTTAAGAAGATTGTCCGCACGAATGTTGGCAAGGATGTGGAGACACCGTAGCTCTCATACGCTGCTGGTGGGAACATAGATAGTGTGACCACTTTGGAAAAAAGTTTGACAGTTTCTTAAAAATCAGACACGCACCCAGCCATTCCACTCCTAGTTCTCTACTGTAGAGGTCAAAGGCGTGTATTTATAGAAAGGCTTGTGCGTGAAAGTTCAAAGCAGCTTAATTTTCCCAAACTGGAAACGGCTCAAATGCTCATCAGCTGGTGAGTGGATAAGCAAATCATGCTACAGCCGTACCGTAGAGAGCTACTCAACAATAAAAAGGAATGAACTATTGATACAGGCAACAACATAGATGCGTCTCAAAGTAATTATGCTGAGTGAAAGAAGTCAGATGGAAAAGGAGTACCTTTAAAAAATGATGTAAAACAATGTTTATACAAAATTCTAGAAAATGCAAACTAAAGTGACAGAAAGCAGATTGGTGGATGCTTGGGAATGGGGGCCAGGGAGCAGGAGGGAGGGATTTCTAAGGGACAGGAGGAAATTTGGGGGGGTGAAAAATATATTCCTGTTTATGGCGATGGTTTCCTGGGTACGTTCATATGACGAAGCTGTTCAGGTGGTTACACTTTAAATTTACACAGCTTAGTTAGTTATACCTCGGTAAAGCTGTTAAAATGGAAAAAATTTACAACTTTAATAATCTTTAATCGGCTTCCCTCAGTCCCACTTCTCGCTGTAGCAGTGGCCTTTCCTCCCCTCCTCACAGCCAACGTGACACGGCTCCCTGCTCAACTCCACTCTCCTGCAATCCCAAGCCTGTCTCTCCAATGACACGGTTCTTTCCAAGGTCACCAGTGACTTCCTTGTTACTAAATTCAGTGGGCATTTTTAGTTTCTGCCCTTATGTGACCTCTCGGCCACAACCCACTTCCTCTTTCTTTTCTCGTGCCTTCCACGATGCAGTGGGCTCCTCATCTCCCTCCTGCCCTCAGGTCGCCTTTGTGGGTGCTTCCTCTCCCACCTGCCCCCAGTGTTGGGGTTCTTCAGCCTATTCCTAGGCCCTCGTCTCTTCTTTCTCTGCCGTCTTCCTTGGAATCTCCTCCGTCTCCACTGCTCAAAGCTGACGCCTCCCACATGTATAGCTCCAGCCCAGACTTCTCCTCCCAGATCACACCTCCAGTTGCCTGCGAGTTGTCTTCTCGTGGGTATCTCGGACCTGACAAACTCAGAACCAAACCATCTCCCCAGCCCTCAACCGGCTCAGTGAATGGCACCTCCACACGGCCAGTTGCTCGTGCCGTGATGGGGGGTTATTCACAATGCCTCCCTCTTTCTTCCCGTACCCTCCAAGTCCTGTCGATTTTACCTCCTAAATATCACTGCATTCTCTCTGCTCCTCTTCGTCTCTACCGCCTGACCCCTCTGGTCCAAGCTTCATCTCTCACTGGGATCACTGCAGCCTCCTCCTGCCTGTCCTGCCGTGAGGCTTGGCCATGGCGATGAGCCGGAACTGGGGCTCAGTCGTGCCAGGTAGAATCCTGGCCCACGAATCCAGATTTGCCAGACATAGCACACCTCCTTCATTTTTATAAAATGAGAGGAGCATCAGTCTCTGACTGCAAGCCTTCATTCTGCCAGGATGACTGAAAACTAATATAAATCATTCAGGGTGCCTCCGCCTGGTCCTGCCATGCTCTGCACTAGTCCCAGGCCCTCAGGGGCTTACATGGTACCAAGTCAGGGCTCCGGCAGTTCCTCATCAGTGTCCTGTCTGCAGGGCCCTTCAGGTTCATGCTGCCACTTTAGGGGACCAGAAATCTGCTGAGCTTGGGAACCCTATGCTTCAGGTCTATGTACCTCCCAGACCTTCCTTCCCAGAGTCTTACTGGATCCCCGCCAGCACCCCCAGGGACCAGGTGGGTCTCAGGTCCCCATTGCTTCAGAACCTGTGGGCAGCCACTCCCTCGCCGCCCCCAACTCCAGGGCCAATCTTCTGTTCAAATATGGAGGACACTCCTGTCTAGGACCAGCTTTCCAGGAGTGTGACCCATGCATTCATCCTGGGCTCCATGCTGAGAAGAGCCCTATGCTTGTTTTAATGCTTCGCTTTTGCTAAAATCCTTTTGCACAAGGGACCGTGTATTTTTATTTGTGCAGGGCCCCACAAACTGTGTGGCAGTTTCTGTTCTTGTCCCCCTTGCTTTCCCCATTCTGCCGCTGCTGTATTTCCCTGATCCTCCCAAATTGCCTAACCTCCTTGGCTTTTGAGAAACAGAAGCCAAGAGAGTATGTAGACCAGTCTGCTTCCTCTGCCACATATCTCCCCCAAGGCAATAAAATATAGGTCAGCTTCCTCTTGAATGGACAGAGAAGGAAAGGAGAAAAATAAAGGGAATAAAAAAAAGTTAACATCTGAAAATATTTTCCGGCCCCTCTCTCTCCTCCCTCCCACACCCAAATTGAACGCAAGTTCAAGGGGCTTTCTGTCTCAGTGTTCCCTGGGGCCTGGCAGCGAGTCCCCACCAAGTGAGAACCCTGGGCCGAGGTGCCAGGTTAGCGGTTACACCTGAGCCAGGGGCTGTGGGCCCCCTCGGCTGGTGGCACTCCACAGGGAGTTGTCACAGGCGTCCTCAGGCACACAGAACATTGTCTCAGTAGCATGGCCTGAGGTCCCCCTCCACGCTTCCCCCATGGCTTTCCTCCTTTGCCCCTCTGGGCCCTGAGAGAGGGCATGCCCAGCCTGCGTTGGGGGCAGGGAGTGGCGAGCCTCCCCCTCTGGTTCTTCTCCCTCCAGACAGGAATTCACTGCGGCCTGAGGCTTGAAGATGCCGACCAGTAGCCCAGAGTGTGAGCTGGATTCATATTTGAGATCAGCTAGTCCAGCACCTCTCAACTTTTTGTTTTTTTAATCTGTATTCCTTTTTGATAATCATACTAAAAACCTCACAGACACTGGGAAATCTGGATTGGTTGGGGAGGGTGTCTTTGTCCTTCCTTTGAGAAAGATAGAGCTACCTAAGAATATTAGTCAAAATTTATTTTCTATGGTTTAAATTAAGAGCATCTTATTAATATTTTGTAATATTCCAAATATAAAATTCTGATATTGAGTAGACTGTAACTACACAGGCTTCTGAACCCCACCCCTCTTGGGACATGCTTTCCTGTCCCTCCCACTCTCCCTGGGCCAACCAAGGTTAAGAATCACTGACCTCACCCTTTATTTTACCAAGTGGGGAAGGAGGGGCACAGAGTTGACGAAGGTCACCCAGAGTTGGGCCGTCATCCCGCTGTGGAGGTCGCCCTCCCCCGTTCTTTCTCTGTTTACTGGGGCCAAGTGTAAACACGGTAGGCAGGATGAATGATTGGTGTTACTTGCTCTCTCCTGGCAGATGTTCGGTTAAGCTATGAAAAGCATGGATGATTGGCAGTTTCCATGGCAATAGATTTGCCAAGGATTAGCTCTGAGTGAGTCATGGCTGGGGCTCCCTCCAACACCATCCTCTTCTGGAACAAGAGAACCTCCAGGCTGTGGCGAGGGGAGAGTTCTGAAGAACAAACACTTCTGTCCCCCAGCCCCTCAACCTCTCGTCAGAGATACATTATTTAACTTACTTGAGATATTTTATCCCAAGGCCAGGTGGCTTCCTGGGAAGAGCAGCTGGACATTTGATTTTGGTGGTGGCTCTGGATTTAGGAAGCGGTCCTCCTGCCCCCTCATTGCACCCCCTCTACCACACCCTGTGGTGGCGGCTACAGGGGTGGGGTGGCGGGGGGGCTTGGAGTAGATCCTGCACTTGCTTTGTTTCTTAAAGCTCTTTCCTTCTCCAAGCTACACCACCAAACTTTCCCTGGAAAACAAACATCTCTCCCTACAGGGTTTTCACACACACACACACACACACACACACACACACACACACACACCCGTGCAAGTGCAGCCACTCCAGGGATCCAGGAGCACAGTTCATGGAGAGCTAGGAAATGGAAATTCACTGAGAATAATATCAGTCATGAGAAGTCATATGACCCTTGTCCTCAAATTCCAAACTCTTACTGGAAGGGATAAGGGCCTCTTTGGCCATAGTCACCACATGGGCCTGTGGTTGACCACACCCAGCATAAAAATGTGGTGGGAAACCAACAGCCTTTACCAGAATGTCCAT